AAGAAAAAATATATTGGCCTTCACATGTTTAGTGCAAGATTTATATTTTTAATTGAAAATGTACATTGTTTTAATTTTCTTTCTAAAAGTAGACTTTTTAAAATTTATATTATGTTGCTTGTATATAATGTTGTGTACTTGATGTAAATTACAATGAAAGAGTCTGTAATCACCAGTGGAGGCAAGTTTTTGGAAAGAAATAAGCAAAGACCATGACAGAGAATAAAAGAGAGAGTGTTCCTTTAATGAGGTTTTCAAAGAAGACCATTCTTCTGTCCAAAAGAGAAGAGGTGGCCATGCAAAAATCCAAGGAAGAACATTTCAGGTAGAGGACATAGTTTGTGTAAAGGTCCAGGATATGAGCACAACATGAGGTGTCTCATGTACAAAAAAGGAAAAGGTGTGGTGGGTGTAGAGGTTACCAAAGTGAAGGGTCTGAATGCTGGAGCATCTTCTAAGTAGTAGTTGAAGTCCCCAAGAATGCTGACAGGAATTGGAGTGGGGAGGACACTGCCCGTGAGGAGCTAAACCCTTCAGTGCATGGAGAGGAGTGACCAGGAAGCTGGGAGATGACACCACCCAGAACAGGGAGAAGGTGGAACCATTTCATCCACAGAATTCACTCTGAAGATGTGTTTCATGTCTGGGCAAGAGAGTGAGGAGCAAGGACACCAGCCCTATCTGCTGCCCTAAGGTTCCTGGGCAGGAGAGGAAGAACAGCCCCCACATGGAGGGGTATGCTGCTGGGAAGGTGGCCTCCTCACAAGGCAACCATGCTTTCATTAAGGCAAGAGGCGAGGAGAATACGCTGAGAAAAGGCTGAGGATAGAGTTGGTGGTCCTGAGGGTATGAGGGGAGAGTGTGGAAGAGAGAAGAGAGGTGAGATGTTAGTTCAAGAAGTAGTTCCTGGCTGTAGCTGAACTATGGGTGGTGGTGGTGGTGCAGGTGTGTTAATATACAAACTCCAGGTCCTCACCCCAGACCTAGTGAACTGGAGTCTCTGTGGGCAGGGGTTTGCAGATTAGCAACCATGATTGCGATGTACAGCCAGGTAGGGGATCCCCTCCCTTAGATGGTGTCTGATATCTCTTCCAGCTACAAAACTGGAAGAATGATGAGGATTTGGGTCAGGGTCCTAGCACTGAGCAACAGGGAAGTCATGGATTCAATGAATATTTCAAAGGATGGAGCAAGGTGAGAATATGAGAGAGGTGATTGGAAACACCTTTGGATTGCTAAGTTATAAGTTTGTTTTAAACTTAGTTATTGTTTTAATAAATCACCTGTCCAAGGTTAGGGTCCGTTGCACCTGGATCCAGGTGCTCAGGTAGTGCCACCCATCACCTGTGGCTCTGCTTTCTGTTGTGTTAAGCTGACTCCTGTTTAGGCTCTGTCAGTGAGGTGGCTGAGATGGTGACCATCAGCTCTAGTCTGAAGTAGTGGACAGCACAGGTCCACTTCAGCCCTTTGTTTATGAAGCATAGAGAATAGCCGCTAGAGCACTACGCTCATTCCCCTCACCATTCTCACCGAAGCCCTGATTCAAGGGGCTAAGTCGTAGGTCTGTAGACTGGACTCCCCTTGATCATCACAGACTCCAGTGATGTTTGAGAGGTGCTGAGTGTGGCATTGGTAGGAGTTGGTGAAAGTCACATTTCAGTGACCTTAAACTTGATTATTCATTGTGACCGCACAACACAGATGCTCATTGCCCGAAGCCTGAGAGTTTTAATGTAACGTGAAAGGTAACAGAGTCAGGGCACAAAGGCCTCCTTAACTCCCAGCCACTGATACTTGAACTGCCACCAGGAGAGGCTTCCACTTCTCTGTTTTAGGACCCGTCACCAAACACCAAGAACAATGGCTGCCCCAGCCCTTCTCTTTGTACTGTGCACAGAAGAGAAGCGGCCTCCTGGGTGCAGGGGCGTGGGCTTTGTTCCATTAGAGAAAGGCGCATGTCAATCAGTTTGGGCAGAAAATAAAGATAATAACATAATGAATGTCTGCGTCCCCAGACATAACCACTACTTTGCATTTGATGTTTGTCATCCTTTTTTTTCACATGTCTGTGAACAATATAGAGTGAACAATATATTTTGCTTGTGTTTAAACTTCATCTGAATGATGTTCCATGGCTATCCTTCTACAAATTGCTTTTTTTCCTTTTGGCTTCATCTTGATACATGACCTTCTGGTTGGTTCATTTTCACTGCTATGTGGTATTCCCCTTAAATACATTAGATACATTCATGATTGTCCTGTGTGTGGACAGCAGAGTCATTTCCAGTTTTCACTGTGACAAACAGCATTGCTGCAAACATTCGTGCAGGGATTTTGTGCAGTGTGCAAGGGTTTCTCCATGTTGTACATGAGCTGTGGACCAGGAAGGCTGGACGCTGTGTGTATGTCTTCACTCCTGCGACATGTTACCGAGAGGCTCTCCAAAGCGTTGGGCCCCTAGCAGTGTCCGAACTGTGCCCCACCTCCGTCCCCTTCAAAACGTGTACAGTCCAGCTTTGATTTTATTTAAAACATTTTGCCAATCTGAAAATAAAATGAAATCTCTTTACTGTTTGAATGTGTATTTCCCAGATGACTAAGGTTAAATGTTGTATTCATGTAGAAGCCCAGTGTGTAAAGCTAAACCAGGCATTTATTGTCTTAGTACCTTTGGATGATGTCTGCTTTCCTAAATATTGAGCATATTTTTAAGCAAATGAGTGTATATTAAATCTCTTTGGTAGCATATTTTGGCAAGTTGTTTAATGAGGATTTTAGCATTATCTGTGACACATTCTTCCCATCCCTTTACACAAGCTAATTAGAAGTTGGCTTTAATAGCAGGTATGAAAACAAACTTCTGAGTCCTAAAGACAGACATCCTCAAGTTCGACAGGCATGCTCTTTAGCACCTCTGCTCTGACTGTTCCCTCTGCTGGAAGGCATGTGGTTCACTCCTCTGTCCTCAGGTGTCTCCAGTCGTCTTTGTACATTACTCATTACTGTTTGCTTTGACTCTTCTTTCTTTGTCTTTCCCCTTCCACCGGCACAATGTAACTTCTTCATTGCGGGCATCCTGGTTTGTTTTGTTCACCACAGTAGTCTCTCCTTATCCATGGTTCCAGTCTCCCATGGTCAACCATAGTCTGAAAATATTAAATAGAAAATTCCAGAAATAAACAATTCAAAAGCTTTAAATTGCACACTATTCTGAGAAGCATTATGAACTCTCCTGCTGCCCCTCTCCGTCCCACGCAGAACTGAAACATCCTTTTATCCGGGGTATCCACACTGGCATGTCACTCACTCGTTAGTTACTTAGTAGCCATCTTGGTCATCAGCTTGACCGTGAGGGTATCAAAATGCTGTGTTCAAGTAGCCCTGAACAATGGGCCCAGAGTGCGAAATAGTGGTGCTGGCGATTCGGACATGCCGGATGGGTGCAGTGAAGGGCCTGAAATGTGTCCCTAGGGTTCAGCACAGCTTGGGGCCATGGGCGCCCACTGCAGGCCTTGGAACATATCTGCCGTGGAAAAGAGGGACCACTGTATATACTGTTTTTCCTATACATACATCCTATGGTAAAGTTTAATTTACAAAATCAGCACAGTGAGAGATTAACAACAATAAATAATAAAATAGAGCAAGTATAGAAATAGACCGTAATAAAAATTATGTGAGTGTAGTCTCTCTCTTTTTCTCTAACTGTCCTATTTTACTGCAGTCGCCTTTCCCCACCAGGGGCTGTCACGGTTATCAAGGTGAAGGGAGACCGTGGCCCTCGAGGGGAAGAGGAAGAGAAGTGGCTAGTTCAGAGAGATACTTAGGACACCTTTAATGTCTGCTTCCATGATCACCGAAATAAGTGGAATCTCAGTGACCTTCTGCATCTGGATGTAACTGAACCAGGAGGCTGTGCTTCTATTAAACATCATCCTAAGTAATCAAATTAGAAAGCTGTCCAAAGTGCTCCACCCACGTCTTTCACTTTCTCCTGGTGGAGAGGTCTAGAGTGAACTGCATTATTCAGCAGAGCGTGAACAGTGGGACAGCCCCCCGGCTGTGCTCAAAGCTTTTGGAAGGAAGGTCATGTTCGACGTCCAAGCTTCCCTGGTCTCTGAATCTTTTGTACAAGTAAATCAGTTTCATTTGTCTCAGGACACCTTTTCCAGGCCAGCTTCTTCCAGCGAGCCTGCAAATGTTTCTCAGTGGTGTGTTTGAGGCTTGGCTGCTTCTCCTTGTCTGGAACAAATCTTTTATTATGAGGAAATAGCAGGATGATGATTCTGGACTCTGGACCGTAGTCCCCTCTCAGCTGTTAACTTGGTATTGGATACGTGGGTAATTTTCAGCTTAACCTGCCTCTTCTGCTGCCTGCTTCTCACTAATATCGGTTTCATCTTGAAGCTGGATTTCACACATACCACCTCAGCAATCTTGAGTGAGACGTGTAAGATTAACACCTGTTCCTTCAAGACTCCCCCAGAATGTGAGGGATACACATGTGCCGGTTTCTGTGCTCACCTCCTGGACTCGTGTGGCTTTCCCTCGGTGCAGTGGTCATGCATTCCACCGCAGCCGGAAGCCATCCAGATGATGGGAATATCATGTTGCTCACTTCACATGGGAAAGCCATGACCCACCCTCTTATTCAAGTTGCATTCAAATCTAATTTCCATGGCCCATGTGAGTGGGAGCTCCAGCCCTCGTCACAGCTATCAAGTGTAGCAACACTATTTCCAAACATGGGCCAGTAGGCAGCCAGCAGGCACCAGACCGCTGGGCGCTGGCAGGAAGGTCCGGCACCCACAGCAGTCAGAGCAGCAGCCCTCCTGCTATGGCCAGGGTAAACACTGGAATGGATGGTGTTTTTCTCTGAGCAAGGAGAACTGTCAAAATGCTTATCACTTTATAAAACACAACAGATTGTGCCTGTTCATGTTACTAGCTGGCTTTTCTTGTGACCTTGGTAATAGTTTTAACTGGTCTGTTCTTTCTAGGAGACCCGGGGAGCCCCGCCAGGCCCTTGCTGCGCTGCCGCCCCGGTTGTGGATCCATCTGGCTGTGGTGGCCTGTGGCCATCGGCTGGAGGAGACGCTGGTCATGCTGAAGTCAGCTGTGCTCTTTAGCCACAGGAAGATGCAGTTTCACATCTTCACCGAAGAATCTCTGCAGCCCGAGTTTGATAAGCAGGTGAATTTGCAGAAACCGTAGCACAGTGCATGGAGAGGGCATGCCTGCTCACTCCCGTGCTTCACCCACATGCCCGTGCGCCTGAGCTCTGGGCGCAGCCTTCCGCCGACATGCAGCGCGGGCAGTCACGCCTGTGCGGACGAGGCACTTGACCAGGCTTGATCCCTCTTGGAGTTTTCAACATAGTTCTTACTTGGGAGACATACTGCTTATTTTCATGCACACATGTTGTATAAATAAGTAGTATGTTTGTTAGAATAAATTCAAACAGTGTACATGTTACAAAGTAGAGGTACAGTCCTTGCTGCCTTCCAGTCCCACCCAAAAAACTATCAGAATTAACAGTTTTGAGTGATTCTTCTGTATGTTTTTCTGCATATACAGGTGTGTGTCTGTGTGTTTATCCATGTGGGTGTGTATATACATGTATATTTAGATGTATATATAAAGAGGCACATACATAATGCATAAATATTTATGTACCCAGCTTACAATATATTTTGTTACAAAATCAGGATTATTCTCTATGTGTTCTCAAACTTGTTTTTCCTCACTTCAAACCATATTGTCAGCATTGTTCCAGGTCAGGAGTTGTATATTCGTACATCATCCTTTTTGGTGGCTACCTCTTACTTTATTATGTGGCTGGGTCATCATTTACTTAACCGTTTCTATGCTGAGGTACAAATAATGATTTTTTAACCAGTACACGGGAGCACTTTGGAAATGCTTCTTCTCCCCCGTCGAGGTACATGTGTGACTTTGCAGACCAAGCTTTGATTTCCTTGAAAGTCTCCTCTTGCAGCAAGTCCCCGAATGCGGGCAGAGCAGTGGTTTGCTTTGCACTGTGTCTGCTTACTCGGGTCAGCCATGCTAGTGTGAAATATCCAAGAAGCATGTTGGGCAGAGAGAGACTAATAAACAGAAAGGTAGAAAATGTGTTTTTTTCTAAAGAAAAAAATCACCTTCCCATCTTTACCAAGAGAAGCCAGGGGAACAAATATTCTTGGGGCTTTGAAAGTGTTTGCAAAAGGCCTTGAAAACAATCTGCGTCCCCATAAGGAGAAAGAAAAAAAATGGAAACACACATAGCTGGTCTGAAGCTGTGGTGTAGGGAATGATGGTAACAATAGCAAACACTAGTAACAACGCTTTGGAAAAGGTAACAATCATGGTCCTATTTTACAAACCAAGTTCCAAAACCTCATGGCCTTTCTGAGCTTTCGTGTTCTTGTGGGGGTGGTGGAGCAGCGGGACTGACAAGAGAGCTGATGTGTCTGTGATCAGAATAGGCCAGGCCAGGCTGCAGTGACAGCTCCAGAGGATGTTCACACCCCTGCGCCCGTCTCACAGCTGACAGACTGTTCATGCTTATAGGGCACCTGCTGGAACCTGCACCCTGCAGGTTTGGGGTGTCACCACAGGAGACAGATGAGTGGGTCACAGCTGTGCTTTATGCTCTGCTGGACAGTGACGAAGTCTCCTCCGCTCACATTTAATTGTCCAGAAGTGGTCATGGGGCCTGAGAAGTACTCTGTGCAAGAAAGGAGGAAGCTGGCTCTGTGCAAACATTGGGAGGGTCTTGTGCAATGTCCATTGGACAGGACTTGTTGAGTTTCTACTCTGTGCAGGGAGCTGGGGCATGAGGATGGAGACATGCAAAATGTAGACTTCAACTTAGAAAAAGATAAGGAGACGGAAGATGTGCATGTATAACCATATATGTGTGCAGATTGTATTTTTCAAAGAGGATATCAGAGAAAAGGTGGGGGAGGAAAGAAACTAACCAGAGAATTTAAGTGCATCTTTGCACAACCCATGGACAGGAACAGTGGTGTGGTGAAGGCTTGGGGGAGAGGGACACAGGATGGAGGGGTCAATGGGGGAAAAAGGGGAGGACATTTGTAATACTTTGAACAATACAGATAAACTAAAAATAAATAAACAAAAAAAACTCAAAGAGGCCCCAGGGGTCCCACCTTCTGTTTTCATATCCTTATGTATTTCCCTCCTGCACTGTCCCAGGGTTGGTCTGTGTGACCAGTAGCAAAGGGAAGAAGTGATGCTACTCCACTTCAGAATTAGGTTTAAAAAGGCAGGACCACCTTCCAGCTTGTTTTCATTCTCTTTCTCTCTTTCTCTTTCATTCTTACTTGCTCTGGGGGAAGCCAGCTGCCATTAGAGCAGCCTTTGCAGACACATGTTCCGGAACTGTTGCTGCCATCCATGTGAGTAAACTTGGAGAAGGAACCTCCAGCCCTATCTAGCCTTCAGATAGATATCGGAGAAAACACGGGTCCTTTTCCCCACTGGGTCCTGGGGGTGGGGTCCTTATGCTATCTTAAGAAAAATAATTTTCTGAGACTTGCATGGGACAATGAGTGATTTTTATTTGCATGGAATTATATCCCTGAGTTTCCAAAGTCCCATTTCGCTTAGTCCAGTCCTAGAAGAATTGCAGCTGCGGTTTCAGGAGAGCTGGAAGCAAAGCCATTGTCCAGAGCTTCCTTTCCATGTGGGAGCAGAGCCCAGTTCAGCATCAGGCTAGTTGCCGTCCATTAGCCCATTGTGTGGGGTCCACATGGCTATGGGTCATGTGGGCAAATGCAAGGCAAACCCCACAAATCCAGAGTCACACAAGTTCCAAGATTCCTAAGAGCAGTAAGAGCAGAAGAGAGTGAACCCCTTTTTTTGGGAGATTTAATATCCCAATTGGTATGCCCTTGCAGTGGCCACGCCCATTCTGGCCACCTTGTTCTCAGGTGTGACTTCCCTAGGTCACCCCAACTTTTCTGGGCATGTGTCGATCTCCCCTTTGTTGGACCTTTGGGGAGTGTAAAGTTGTAGCTTCCTAGTGAAGCTGCCCAAATGACATGACTGTACAACTTTGCTCCTTTCCTGTTAGTCAATCATAACTGTAAGATGACCACAGCCCCAGCCAATAGCTGGGCTGTAACCTCTCGAGAAGCCCTGAGCCTGAACAACGCAGCTCACAGATTCCTGACCCTAAGAAACTGAGATAAATGTTTTTGATTTTGAACTATTAAGTTTGGGGGTAATTTGTCATAAGGCAATAAGTAGCCAATACATATTCAGCTACATGCATGATATGTATGTACATATAACATAGGGCATGAAAATGTAATGCTACGTGACATCTGAGCCTCGGTCACAGAAAGGAGACAGCTTCTGCTTGGTTCCTTCTTGAGATGCCTGCCCCTGGAATGTGGCCACCACCCTGTGGTGGAGCTCGAACCAGCCTTTATGGAGAGAAGACACACAGAGGCCCACACAGAGAGGAGCCTGGTCCCCAGCCAGTCGCTGCCCTCTCCCCCAGATGTGTGAGTGAGCGAGCCTTTGGTGATTCCAGCTTCCAGCCTTGAAGGCTTCCAGCCGAGGTCCTAGACATCGTGGAGCAGAGTCAAGCCATTCCTTCTGCGCTCTGTCCAAATTCCTCAACTACGGAAACTATGAGCATCATAAAGAAGAAATAGCTAAGTTCTGGGGTAATTTGTTATGACCCATAGTAGCTGGAACATTATAAATTAGGAGCTGAATTGCATGAGGGAAATCACTGCAGACACCTGTGAAGCGGTGCTGTGCTTTGGATTTCCTGATGCCTTTGCCCCTCCCTGGCTCATTCCTCAGGTCTTTGTTAGACCAGCGAAGGCAGGGCTGTGGTGTCCCCCTTTCTTTTTCATACTGGGATTGTGCTGTACGTTTTCATTTACAATATTGGCTCTTACATACGTCACAGAACTCTCAGTCCCAATTTCTTCATCTGTACCAAAGGGTAAGCAAAAAACCGGCAGGAGACAGATACACAAAGGGAACAAAGGATTCTCACTCCGCTGACTGCAGAGTGTAACTGTGACATTGAATCAGAGAGTCTGTGTTCTCTCATTCCACAAAGACCCTTTGGAACATCTCCTGTATGTTGGGCAGTACCTTAGACTTGAAGTCTAAGCTGTTTCTGCTGAGCCAGAGGAGGAGGTGGGGGGCAGGTTATCCCACTCCTCAAGTGGTGAGTTCCAGTGCTGAGAGGCATTGTGGGAATATCCAGTTTCTCAGGCTAATTTTCTGGGAAGTGCAAGGTCACATACCTCAGGGTAAAAACAAAACAAAATGCTAATTGCCATCATTATTCCTTTGGAAGTTGCATTGTGGGTGACTTATTGAAGTCAAATTTATTTTAAAGCTGCTTAAGTACAATATATATGGTAGTATTAACCATCTACATGGTAAATATTTAATATTTTAAAGTTTTACTTATTTTTGTCATCTCCCAGAATAGAAGCTGACAATGACAGCAGATTGATTGCCTAGACACTCCAGGAAGCTTGGGACCAGACTCATGATTTAGGTCTGGCTGATCTGCGCACCCGCCCTAGACACAGTGTCAGAAAATAGTGGGCACAGAAATGGAGACAGCTACCAATTCATCTAGTGGTTACAGAGGGATGGCAACAGCCTGTGTGTGTGTGCGTGTGGGTGTGCGCACGGTTGTGTAGCTTAGCCATGGAGGAAGTGTCCGCCGGAGAGGCAATCAGTACACCATTTGTATATGTGCATATTGAAAAAATGTAAATGGACTTAAATTTTCAGTTAAAAGACACAGATTGACAAAGGTAGATAAAGTCTTCTAGAAGACAGGATGGCAAAGATCAGATTGTTCAGGAAACCAGTACCGCCAGGACCTGCCTGCTGTCCCTCCAGGCCGGTGCTGGGGTCTTGCAGTAGCAGCCTTGGGTGGGTGTCTGTGCCTAGGGTCTGTTCTGACTGGCCGGCGCCCTCCCTGTCAGTCGTCAAGTACTTCGACTACATTTCTACTCTTTCTCGTTCAGAGATTTTTCTCCCAAATATCCATTTTTAAAAATGTTTTTATTTAGCCCAGGTTGTGGGCCAAATCCCTAGTGGGGGGTGTGCAGTAGGCGGCCAGTTGATGTTCTCTTACATCGATGTTTCTATCTCTCTCCCTCTCCCTTCCTCTCTAAAATAAA